TTAACTTGGAGTTCTCAAACATGTGATACTTCTCACAAAGGAAGATTGACCTTGAATTGTATTCTCATTGAAACAAAATAGAATAAATCAGTAATAAATTTATAAGGTATGGAACGTATAAAAGTTAAAAACATGGAAAAATTGTGTCAAGGCCCCAAAATAAAGAACTTCATATGCCACATACCTCCATATTAATTCTCTTATGTATAAGCCCCAAATACAAAGGGTTTTTTTGATTCAGTCGTATACACAATTATTAGTACACTAGTACAAAAATAGTCTGTCCAAACGGTTATTTGAACCGTTTGGACAAATCAAGATAGCTCAAACAGTTTAAACCGTTTGGGATAATAATCCCAAACAGTTTAAACCGTTTGGAATTTTAAAACCCCCCCATACAGAAATCCCAAACAGTTGCAACCGTTTGGGATATTTTATCCCATACGGTTACCCCATACGGTTACAACCGTTTGGGAGTTTTGATTGGTCCTACAGATAAAAAAAAACCTGATATTTCCCCCGTTCTCCCCAATTAACCCGCGATATTTCCCCCCGAAAAATTTCCCTAAAATCGCCGCACCCCCCAAAAATCTCCCCAGCCCTCGAATCTTCATCGTCGAAGTCTGACCGCGGCCGTCGGCCAACGTGCCTTTCGTCCACCGGCACTCTCGCCCTCCCCCACCGCCTTCATCTTTGCCGGCACTCTCGTCCACCGACTCTCGCCGGGGATCTTGCTTCACCGCCTCCTCCTCCACCGCCTCTCGATTCCACCGCATCCTCCTCCACCGCGTCCTCCTCCACCGCACTCTCGTCCACTATTTTTATGGGGCAATTTTTTCTTTTTTGTTTTTTTTTTGTTTTTTGTTTTTTTTTTTGGTTTTTTTTTTTTTTTTTGGGTTTTAAGGCTAAAGCTTTGATGGGTTTATGATGTTTAGGATGTTTATGCTCTGCCCACATCTTGATGAGAAGCAGAGGATGAGGCTGAGCAGGGATTTGGGGTTGGAACCAAAACAGATCAAGTTTTGGTTTCAAAATAGGAGGACCCAAATGAAGTTAACATTTTTTAACTTACTGTCTTCAACTATTTTTGTGTTTTTTTGGAGAAAGTTTTGTTAGATTTGGGTATGAGAACAAAAAAGGGGCCTTTTAGGTTTCTGCTATCAAGGTTTAAAAAAAAGATTATTACCATTGTTGTGTTTCTAAGTTAGATTGGTGATATTTTCTTTGATGTAGGCACAACATGAGAGGCAAGATAACTGCTCTCTTCGTGCGGAAAATGATAAGATCAGATGCGAGAACATTGCAATGAGAGAGGCTTTGAAGAACATAATCTGCCAAATTGCGGAGGACCTCCAGTAAATGAAGACTCCTATTTTGATGAGTAGAAGCTTAGAATGGGGAATGCTAGATTAAAAGAAGAGGTTGACCCTTGATTTCTTTTCTTTTTTATTATTATGGTTATCGATATCTATGTTCATAGTCAATGAGTGCATGTTTGAGAATTAGTATTATTTGATACTAACACATATGATTTATCTTTTTTGGACTAATATCTTATGTTCCTAGAAATGTTTGGGTCAGAAAAATAATTATTAGATTTTATTACATCTATATGTATACATTGCAGTTCTGAGTTTAGCCTATTAGGGTTGCCGTCATTATTCTTGATGAACATTGATCATATCGCAGAAGTGTCATTTATATGCAGTAATTGATTCATTTTTTCGAGTTATTATTAATATTTATTACAGTCTCTGCCGACACCACAACTGTTTTTGAATACATTCATTTAGGTGTTATAGATTGGAACTTTAAAAATATAATGATGAAAACTAGATGATATTTCTTTAGCAATGTATTTAATAACTGCTTTGTCTTTTTACGTCATTATAACTTCAAAATAATCAAGTTTGGGGCTATAAATTATGTTTTATGCTTGTATTTGGATTAATAGCTTTAAGAAGTCGTCTCAGTTCATGAAAGCTGACGCCGTTTTTCTCTTGCCATTTGCTTCAAGTCATTCATACAAAGTCTACTAGCTTTTAAGAACAAAACAGATGATATCTATTTTTATCAGCTGCTCTTCTTTGAATATATATCTAAAGAAGCAATTGTATTTTCGAGTGATAGACTAGATCATATATCAGTTGAAGTTTGAGCATTTAACAAACAGTCTCAACCTATTTCCAGAGTGTATAGAATTCAAGTCATTTTCTTAGTAGAATAATCTTATTGGACATTAAAAGTATCAGTTATCCTCGTTCACTGTCAGATATTGAAGTTAAGTAACTGTATTTTCGGTTAGTGTATTGCTCTTATTATTATCATGTTTCTGGGCATTTACAGATAACACCAGATAATAACTCTTTGGACGATTTTCTATGATTGTATGGTACATAGTAGTTGAATTATCTACAACATAGTTGAAGACAGTCGAACTCGATCTTAAAACTAATGTCTCTGTAGATTAATTTGGCTAGATATGAGTAATTATCACTGAAGCCTTGCTTATTACTTTATTATGCCATTTTCATTATAATCAATTCCTAAATAAAATAGTTTGTTTTCATCTTTCAAGGTTAGCATTTGAAGCATATGCTTGTGTACTTAAAAACCTTACTAATCTAAGACTGAGCAGTACTGATGCCTTCTACATGAAAAATGAAAAATCAACCTTTGCATTGATATGAGGAAGGATCACCTATGATTTACTTCAAATGCATTACGTTTTCTCGATGACACTGGCCAAATAAAATTCTGAAACAATAGGCTCTGTTCTGGATGACATTATGTAGTTTATAATATAGTTATTTATCATCTTTTCTACTTGACTTATTTAAATTGATCACACATTTTTAGCATCTTTATAGCGCGCATTTACATGGAGCATGTGTTGCCTGAGAAGTTTGATTGGTTTTTTTTACATTCTTTGGAATATCCTATCTTTGGGATTGTTTTATCCATGTTATAAAGAATTTCATTATAATCATGATTATTTCGATTAATGTATCTTCTTAACCTTAGTTTAATGCTACTGCAGATGTTTGGCCTCTCTAGCAAGCAGTCAAAAATGCTACATAGTCAGTTTTGTACTAGCCGTTTAAACATAGAAGATTAACACATGAAGTAATTTTTTTCGCCAAAATTTGAGAATAAAAACCTTTTTCTTAACACACTGGATTTTTTCAAAGACTTAATGACAGGATTTTTTCAAAGCCCGGGCATCATTTTTTAGGCCCTGATACCCGAGTTGAGGCCTCGAGTGATTCTGGTGTTGTGTTCATGAGCCTTGTGGCTTTGGTTGATATGTTCATGGACTCGGTAAGCTATTTACCTCTTCAAGTTTCTTTTTTCATAACGTGTGTGTGTGTGTGTGGACATTTACTTAAAGTTTGTTGGTTTGCAGGTTAAGTGGATGAAACTATTTCCAACTATAGTTTCTAATGCAAGAAACATATATACTTGGACAACCTATTGCTCAAGGTTTGTCACGGGAGAATCTTACTAAGATATTTGCAGAATTAAGGCGTTTGGGCTTGTCCCAGGAGGACATTCTTCGAGGAATTTCTTATGTTCCTTGACTGGATGGATCAGGCCACTCCTATCTTATATTTTGGACGTATGAGTCATTTTGGATATTGGAGACATATATAATATTGGATGTTTTTCATTGTGAGATATTGAGTAATCATTGTGTATGTATATGTTTTTTCTCTAATATTATATGTTGAGTAATCATTGTGTATGTATATATAATATTGGATATTTAGCATCGTTTGAGACGTATATATAACACTGGATATATAGCACTGTTTTGAGACATTTTTGTGTATGTATATGTTTTTAATTTCATTGTAAGATATTGAGATATCACTGTGTGAGATGTGTATATTAAATTTAAGCAGGTAGATAAATAAAATAACTAAAAAAAAAGTTAAAAATCAACATGCCAAACGGGTTAAACCGTTTGGCCTGGTCTTAACCCAAACGGTTTAGACCGTTCGGACAAAACGCTATCCAAACGGTCAAAACCGTTTGGACAGATATTTGTCCAAACGGTCTAAACCGTTTGGACATTTGTGACATCCCAAACGGTTACAACCGTTTGGGATGTTGTCCAAACGGTTGTAACCGTTTGGGAGTCTGTCCAAACGGTTACAACCGTTTGGGCGACCGTTGGGGAAAATCCATCCCCAACGGCTTCAGCCCAAACGGGTTTTTTTCTAGCCCAAACGGTTGTAACCGTTTGGGACTGCATTTGCCCAAACGGTTCCAACCGTTTGGGCAGACCCGTTTTGTACTAGTGGTAGCAATCAATGAAATTATTTATAATAATTATTTATTAATTATAATAAAATAATTAAAATAATAGTATAAATAAAATAATATATTATAATTCAATAAGCAGTAAAATAAATAGAATAAATTTTGAATCACATAAATTATGAATTACGATATTTATTCAGTATTATATTATTAAATAAATAAATTAATATTATTTTTAGAGTGTTTTCTCAAAGACTATTACATGATACTGAATAATCTATAGTTGGTAATGATTGGAAACTAGCCTTTTTTCTAAAAAAATTATTTAATATTAAAAATAATACTATAAATTGTTAATATTTAGCACAGTAAAAATTTATAAAAAATTTATAGTACTAAGTTATTTATGAGAATAATTAAAAAATTAAATTAGATAAATATTTTATAACATATAGATAATATAACTATTTTGAATAGTATTATTTAAACTAAGAATTATAATTACACCAAAACTCAAATAGCTTTCAACGCTTGTCTAAGATGAGAGGGCTGGTGGGTACACTCGGTGGCGGAGGAGGAGGAGGCGAGAGAGGAAAACATCGGGGCCGAAGGGTAAGAAGAGTAAGAGGGAGATAGAGGAGAAAAGTAGGTTAGGGGAGAGGAGGAGAGGAGCAGAGGAGAATAGGAGGAAGGATCAGTTATGATCTTTTGGGGATGAGTTTTCATGAGAAGAGGGCAATTTCGAAAGAGCACAAATACATCAAATACATGTATACTTATAGGCTTTTGGGCTTATGTCATATTTTGTTGGGTCTTTTGGAGCTAAACAATATAGGGAAAAGTATAAGAGGGTGGGCCACATGAGGTTTGTTTTTTTAGGACATTTACACAATTTTTCCTAAAAGTATTTGTCAGGCTTAAATATTTCTACACGGGCAAGGAAGGAAAGCCTGCATTTAAAAAAACGAGACATAAAAGTTATTAATAACTTTATAAGTTTAAATGAGATGGTTGACATAAAGTTACCTGGAGTGCAAATGAGCTGCAACACCCTGAAATCAATTTGAGACGTGAATAAGCCAAAATCGTCAAAGTAGAAACATAACTTCTCAATACAAATTAAACATGAAGCAGCAATAGATTTGAGACCCAAGATACATGGTCAACTTGAACTAGTTGACAGTTACCCTAGAGATCCAACTCAACTGTAAACATTTAGAGTTTAGATTATTACAGTGTATAAGTTCAAGATCAAATCACTATTAAAAAAGGGAAAATAACATTTTTCTCAGAATAACAGAACACATCCAAGTCTAACAAATATTACTGAAAACAAGAAGAAGAAAATCATAGATTTGTGGGTATTATGTGTTTGTGTGCTAGAGCGAGAGAGAGAGAGAGAGATCAATGGGAGCTCCCCTCACTCCACAAAAAGAAAATGAGAAGATCATCATCTTCTTCATTCTTCGTGTGGAGCGAAGGGAGGCCCTATGTGTATTAACTCCCCTCTCCTTTAATAATTCTAACCTGATTCCTCCTTTTATAATTCAAGCACAATGAAGAAGAAACAAAGCCGAAGGCCAGCTCTTTTTTCTTTTTTATTTCTTTCTTTCTTTTCTCTTAATTTAAATCCTGAAAATCTTTTGATGGTTCACCTATTATAAACACAGCCTCCTTTATATAGGCATTTGGATCGCTGATCAATGCTTGATTGATTGACATCTTCCATACGACAGCAGAAAAGGACATCCTATTAATTACCTGATTATTAAGTGGACTAATTAGGCCTCCATTATGTTTTAATTTAGCACACATTTGTTGACTATTTTATAAATTATTGTACTATAGCATAATTAAAGATAACAAAATAAGATTGTAACTCATATCCGCCACAGTGATTGAGCACTGGAAAGTATAAAATGATAGCTGAAATCTGCACGGCATCGGACTGGGGAATCCCTCAGAATGCGGAGGCTTTCAAGGATATATATATATATATAGATAGATTTGTCGCGTGATCGACTCTGCATCCTAGAGAAGAAGGAATCCCATATATTGTTCATGGATATTTTGGGGGTTCTCTAGCTTCTTCGGGGCCCCGTTTTGTTCCCGGAACTGCGTTTTGGAATATGATTTTGGATTCCGGAATCTCGAGCTGCAGATTAATTAGCTGATGGTATATATAATCCCAACATGACGAAATCTTCACTAAAGGGGGCATTGCCGTCGTCAGTCAAGCGTCTTCAGTGCGTTTGATTGGCCTCAACAGGCGATGGATCTCTTTGACTAACTGAGGGTTCGCCAATTATCTTGGTTGTGTACGTGCTGGGAGGGGTTCGGCAAAATTCAAAACAGGATTAGGGCGGGAGGAGAGGTACGTGTAAAAATGCGGTTTGGTTAGCAAAAACGACCCTCGAGATACGTTCGTGGAGTTCGAGAGAGCAACAGCGGGACAATCTGCGTGCAGCAACAACTGGTTGACTCTCCAGTTGATCGTGTTGAGAGTGGTGCGTGGTGGGGTTTCACCTGGGCACCATTGAGCAGACGGTGATGGCGGTAGCTACTACATATAAAGGTCTTCTAACTCGCTAGATGATCGAACGCTGATGAACTAGCGATATTTTGGTATCTATGTGGAGAAAACTCTTATCATAACTAACAATTTCCAGAGATGCGCTTTTTCTTATGCTGAGAAGGTCGCAAACATGTCAGCTCTCAATATCGCATATTTCGGTCTGTTTATGTCATCTGTAAGATTTTGAGCAGAGACCGGTCATTAGTTTCTTTTTCCTTGTTTAGCCCTGGATATTCTTGTACCCCTTCATAATCAATGAAGTTCTATTTTTCAAAAAAAAGTAAATATATATATATAAACGTCACTTCATATACTTTAGCCGAGTCGAAAAAGACTTTTTCAAGAGTTTTTTTTTTTTTCTATTATTGTTTTTAGACCAAGTTGTGCTTAACTATAATAAAATCTCACAAAACATTGTCGGTTGAATTTAGCCACTGGGCGCAAGAGTATTAGTTTACTGATTAAATCAATTAGATGCCTACTTATTCATATATATTTCATTAATAGTGACATAGCTAATAGGAAAACAAATATTCATGCGTCAGTCATGCAGGGTGAAAGTGATGCATAACTGGAAGAACAGATGCGTGTTTCAGTTCTAATCTTAGCTTGTGCTTTTATATTATTATTATTTTTCACTAATCTTAGTCGTTTACATTTATATGTGGAGCTCGATCATATTGGACGCCTTGTGATGATTCCCTGTTATGTCACATCTAAACAAGAACATGTACCCCATAATGTAGGCGTATAGATGTTTTTTGTCCTAATATTTGGTGCTTTGTGTTGGTTTGGCATCAAAACTTTGGTGATCAATTTAAATGATGTAAGATGGAGGCTAATTTTGTCTAGTGCTAGTAATATGAGCGTAATATATACCAAGTGAAAGGAACTCTCAAGTTTGGACTAATGTTTTTTTTTTTTTTTGGGTGGAAATTTGGATTGATGTTATGATGTATTTTATCATCTTTTATATTTTCTTATTTTTTTCATTTTTGGGTACAACTTGAGTCTTTATCATTGTCATCTCAGTTTAGAATCTTTCTTATAGAATTGTGTCTGATGGCAATCTTAATCACTAAATATAGTACTTGTTATTAGTTCGTTGATGGAATGAATTTTCGCATATTCCTGTATAATTCATCTAAAGATGCCGACAGATAATAGTTGGTTTATACTCCCACTACTTCCAAGTTTCTGTTCGTTTCATAGTTTAGGCTAAACTTGTAGATTCTATATAGAGAAAGAAGTACAACATTAATAGCCAACGAATGCAAACTGTGCTATCAATTGCTATTTGTGAGACGAATGGTTAGGCGAACAAACATCAATCTTGTATTCTCGTAAACATCAACATATATAACATAATTTGAGGAAAAATAGATAACTTAAGCTTCTATTTCGTCATCACTAATTTAACTAGCGGCAGGGGAAAACACTTCAAGCATAAGTGTTTTTTTTTTAATAAAGGAATTTGCTGAAGATTATAGATGTAATTGGTTTGAAATATCTATAAAAAAAGTTTAGAAAGAGGTCACAAATTTGTCTACAAATAAACCTGCCCGAGGAACTCTCAGTGATGGATTTTGCTGACCCAATTTTAAGTTCTTTTTAACCATATATTAGACTAAACTCTGAAATTATGTTGAGGGTGAGTGTTAATTTTTAGAAATTTTGTTTTTTAAATTAACAGCTGGTGGGATCTGCACCTGATAGAATCTTAAATTTCCTCTAACTATATATTACACTATAACTCTGAAATTATGATGAGTATTGAGGGTTATATTTTATACTCTAACACCCACTAATTTATGTCCTCCTTACTAGTCTTTGATTTGGATAGAATTTCAAGAAGAAAATAAAAAAGAACAAGCATGATATCATGTTTTTATAATAGTTTTTTTTTTCACAGAAACAACATTCTACAATATGGTGCAAATACAAAAACCATGTTTATAGTTAAATCAACTTTAAAGGAGGTCTAGGTTGTAATCAACCACCTCGGCTTATTTTTTAATTAAAATTCAATCTAAAATTCTAAAATATCCTTTAAAATACAAGTGTCAGACATGTGATATGTCCAAACTTTACATTTTTTCAGCCTGTTTTCAAGGATATTTTCACAATTTTCGTCAAAATTTAACAGAAAATAGATTGAGGGGGTCGACTGCAACCAAATCCCCTTTAAAGATGGATTATGCTAATTGAACTTTAAAGGTAATTTTTTTAAAAAAAATTGCCCTAATTTAAAGGAGGATTTTGTGAAAAATCCCTTTTTATAATGAGTTAATTGCGGGAAAATCCCTTATAGTATCGTTGTTTTGAACTTTCTACCTCTCTACTTTTGATTTCACAGATAGATCCAAGTGAATCCTATTCTCTTTTACCCTCTAGTTGTCTATTTGTCTGAAGAATACTTTTATGATTCTTTACTCTTGGGTAAGTAAGTAAAAATAAAATAGAGGTAAATTCAAAAAAGACAGTTTTTTTCCTTCTTTGTCTTAAGAATAGAGCTTTTGAGAAGAAAAGAGACTTTTTATTCATTGTATTGAACCGCTTAAATACAAGAGTAAAATGAGAGGTCATAGGATTCTAATCGATGTGAGACTAAAATAAAGAAAATCAGATATCCTAATACTAATATATCTAACACTCCCTGTCAAATTTGCGGTTGGTAGAGAACCGTGAGTTTGGATAAGATGAGTAAAATTTTGCATAGATGATTGTTGGCTTGGCTTGGCGAGAGTTGGTTGGATTGGAGCACATCGGTGCCTGGAATGGCAGGTGGCGCCTGGAATGGCAGGTGGCGCCTAGAATGGCAGGTGGCGAGATCATGTTATTGCAGTAGTGATCGACAGTCATGCACCATAGTTGCAAGAGGGCGGACCTACAATCGTAGGAGAAGATGCAGTGACTGGATCTTGCAAGCGGCAATGTATGATGCTGCAGAAGTAATCGATGGTCAATCATGATGGTCACGAGAGGGAAGATCACGAGAGGGCAGACCTACGGTCGCGAGAGGAGGCATGGTGATCGGATCTTGCAGGCATCAGTGAGTGAAAAACGTTTGGCTGGAAGTTGGCAAATGAGCGAGAAATCTCGCTAAGACAATTCATCGAATATCATGTGTGCATGCAATGAATAGTTTGTGTAAATACACCAATCGGAGCAACGGTGGTGTTGGCAGGCAAAGGTTCACGGTGGAGGAACTGCTAGGGTTTCACAAGACGAGAGTTTGCAGCGGTAGGGTTTGGATGAGAGTTTAAGCCGCAAGGATGATGAAGACCAGCTAGTCCAACTTGGTCGGATCTTATCAACCACGATGAGGGATATCCTTGGAGGGATATCCTTGGCAGCGATGGTGACTGAGAAGATGTTGTTATCGAAGTAGCGAAGTCCAGGGTGAACAGTAAATCGAACAGTGGTGAACTCGGACAATGAGTGAACAGTACCCTCAAATGAACAGTGTCGTTCGGCAAAGACTAGGGCTAGGGTTTTGCAGTGAGTAGAGGATGGTCAAGATTTAATCGGGCGTCAAGGCTATCGATGGGAAGCACAGAAATTTTCGGCAAAAACCCCCCTTAGCGACTCGATGTAGAGGAAGAAGAAAGTGGTCTCTGGGATCAAGAGGATGATTTTAATACCATATTAAGTATAGAGCTTTTAGGAAGAAAAGAGACTTTTAAGAAGAAGAAAAAAGAGAGACTTATTTTACTCATTGTATTGCACTGCTTAAATACAAGAGTAAAAGGAGAGATCCTAGAATTCTAATCGATGTGGGAGTAAAATAAAGGAAAACAAATACCCTAATACTACCCTATCTAATGGTTTTGGATTTATTTTTTATTTGTGCGGGGGTTGTTATTTTTGTTTGTTTCATCTTTTCTCTTTTACGAGTAAAAGCTCCATTCCATGAAGAGAAGTCAGAATGGTTATTAGAGTTTCCTAAAGCTTAGCTTTCAGTTTGAGTTCTGTTGGTACGAGTCGCCGTGCGAGCACCCTTTGGTCGTAAAATTACCAAAAGGTGGGTTGAGAAGAAGACAACTAAAACACAA